GAGGTTCCTGCATTCTACATTCGTTTGATAGAATAGCTCTATCTCTTTTTTAAGAAAGTTGACAGTCTTTGTCTGCCAGTAAGAAGTGAGTCCAGTCTCCAAATCCTTTTCCATTGAGTCTAACCGTAAATTAAATGTAACTGGACAGTGGTCTGAAATGATTTTATTATGATATTTGGGGTCAGAAGTATATGGGATGAGATTTGAGTCCATCAGGAAGTAATCAGTCCTAGTGTAGAATGTATGGTCTGGTGAGTAAAATGAGTATTCTCTAGCAAATGGATTAAATGCTTTCCAAATGTCCACCAAGTTCATTACCCATGGTTGCGTTCAAAAATTCACTGGAGTCCAAGTACTGGTCGAGAACCTTATTAAAACCCCCGTCAATCATTAGATTAGTTTATGAAATATCAGGGATAAGGTCCAGTACTTGCCTGAAAAAATGTGGACTGTCAAAATTAGGGCCATATTAGTTGACTAAAGTTAAGGCCACAGAATGTAATTCACCCACTACAATCACAAGTCTTCTTATCTGCAATAGCTTTCTTATTAGAAAAGGGGACTCCCTTATGGATTAATATCGCTGTACCTCTAATGTTAGTGCTGAATTTTGAGTAATAAATTTCCTGTTCTGTTGAAGTCTGTCTCAAGTTTGGAAATGTCTTTTCTAAGGAAGGATGTAGCTTCTTCAATTCGTGAATCAATTTTTGCACAGATGTCTTGCTTCATTTTGTGAAGTTCTGTATGGAGTGATTCAATAGCTGTTAATACGGAGTCTCTGTCAACGCCTGCCGTAGTAGCCTCGCAGCTATGTGGGGAAGGTTCTTCTTCGTCAACCATTCTTCCCTTTTTAATATTCTTGGATTTTTGTGGCCATCTCTGAGTTGGATGTGAGGATATAAGGAGGCTGTAGTGTACTTACAGAGTTTCAGAAAGGCTGGGAGCAGTTTAGTCTAAGTTTTTTTAAAAATCAAATTATCAGAAGAGTAACGGATCCACTAGAGTTTGCGTCTCTACCTGGTTGTGACTTAACCGGAAGTCCCCATTCATTCTCATGGGAATTCTTTCTACCTTTTATCGCCATTAACATCTCTATGGTTACATCACTCAGAAAAGTCACAGCACACCATTCCCGATCGACCCGCATGTGTGTGTGTGTATATATGTATGTGTATATATATATATTGTCCTGATTTTCTCAAAGCTGTGGGACTAATTACACGCCGAAATTTCGATATGGAAGGTGAATAACATAACTAGAAATTTCCTGGAGAAATTTTGAATGTGCCTGCTGCTTGGTGCGTGTACTTCACTCCTCACGTTTCAATCTGTACATAGGACGTTACTTTCAGTTTCATTCGTGTCATAGAGAAAATAATGGTTTTTAACCAAAATTGTCCTCACAATTATAGAAAGACATGTACACACACGCAAAGAACCACACATCAACACGCACACACAAGTACATGCAAGTACACTGTGTTGATTTACCTTGGAGTTGCTCTTATACATGAGTTAAAAGGCTAAGAATTAATGAGTCTAATTAATTAGCCAATCAGAATCAGCTTTGCCCCTTTCTGCCCATTAACACCTGCTGAGAAACTGGTTGCCACTGGCAACTGTGGCCACCAGGGGAGGAGGGAAACACGCACACACAATCCCCTCTCTCTCCCTAGGGAGACAACAGCTTTTAATCTTTTTCGGAGGGAAAGCTACAAGTCCTATTGAAAAGATCAGCTCACCACAATGCTAAAATGGTTTAAAAAGCAGCTCATATTAATAGAAAGACAGTGCTTTGAAAAATTAGATGCCAAAATGATGATTTCTTTTTAGAAGGTGAATATCCAAAGGTGGAGATGGTTTGTGTGTCTCACAGAGATCAAAGAGTCTCTGTGTCTAGCTGAAAGACACACAGCTGACATAGCTGAGTGAGATCTTGGCTCATTGAGCCTCTCAAATAACTGCTATTTTTGAAAAGAAGAGTAGCTCATATCAGAACCATGAGCAAACCATCAGCGGCATAGGACCTTTATGCACAGATTATGTGGCTTTGGTGTTTCTAGAGCCAAAAATGTGGACACAGGAGCGAGTTACAAAAAAGGGTCACTTCTGCTCCTGAATTTGTATTGGTCAATGGGAGAGGTGGAGGGTACTCCCATCACTTCCTCAAAAACCATAAAAGATATCAGAATGAAACCAAAACTGGATGATACAGGACAAAAAATCTCTAAATTTTTGATATAAAAATGAAGGTTGGAAATTGTGGGATTTAAATATGTCTGACTTTTTTGAGGAAAATTTTTAGGGATGGCAGTTAGAGTGTGCAGTTACATCCGGTTAGCGAGTGGAGCTGCGCCTAAAGATGGAAGACATGGCTGAAGATGTAATAAACATCACAATCCTCTACACTGAAGTTACAACACCACAACGAGCGAGTGAGAGAGAGGGAGAGAAGCTAGTGCTAACTGCTAAGCAAAAGTAACTAGCAAATCTGAACAGCATGTAAACAACTGCTGAGTTAGTGATAGTTACTAAAAGGAGCAGAACTAGTCTAAGTTTAAATATACAGCAGGTAGTTAGACACTGTGATAAAGAAAACGGCAACATTAACTATGTTAAGACAGAGCAGCAATAAACTCTACCAGTAACCGAAACTGTCAGTCAGTTGCCAGGTGAGAATAGCAACGAAATCAACCAATTCATTGCAGTTAGGCACTTTGGAGCCAGAGCATATACACGTGGCAATTTATTATTAAAATAGTTTTAGACAGTTGTTGATTCAATTGATCACTGTGGAAGATGTAATGTATATAACATTATACAGCAGTGGCGGCTGCTGGTCTTATAAGGAGGGGAAGCTCATTTTCGGCCTACATCATAAAATGTGTCCGTTTATTTATATGTAAATTTGCAGAGTGACAGAAGAGAGTCGCCAAACACAACGCTAGTCGTTTTTAACAAAGACAAAGTCACTGAGGATCAGTAACGTCTCCAGATCAACTCCGAACAACGGAATGAAAAACTTGAAAAATGCTCCGGTGGATGCTTATACTTCAAGATCGCTGATTCGCTCATTTTGCTGTCAATCAAAAAGGGACTCAGCCTCAGACAGATCATCCAATCATCATGCAGAAGCCGGGCCAACCCACTACCCCATAAACCCCCAGAGACGCTGAGCGTCCGATGGGCGGGACAAAGCCCAGCATTTATCCAATGACCGTCTAGTTTCGCTGCAGTGGAACAACCCACTCTATGCTTCCCCATTGAAGTCAGTAGACGCTTGGCGTCTACACTGTGTAAAGCACTGTGGCGCTGCGGGGATGAATGAGAAGGAAGTCGTGTCGGTTACCTGTGATAAGTAGCTGATTCTGAACAAAAGATGAACATGTTCTAGCGCATATTTAGTCAATGAAATGTACACACAACAGTACATATTTGACCACTTATTTTGTTGACATTTTAGGGGAAGCTGAGCTTCCCTTGCAGTCTTAGAGCAATCGCCACTGTTATACAGAGGTGTTTCTGTTATTTAGTCTACCTTCAGTGAAAAAATGGGGACTGCAGTTTTATCACGTCAGTATTGGCTTCATTTTTCAGCCTCAGAGATTGAGTTGGTCATAGGTCAAGCTGATACAGAAGTTACAGAGCGCCTTCTGCTGGATCACAAAGCAAACTACTTCACATGGTCTGTTGGTCTTCTAGGCTGTAAGCGTTGAATCCAAACAGCTCATTAGAGTTCAATAGAAATAAAAAGTGAGAGCCCTGGTTTCTGAGGAGCTGCTCCCTCTGCTGACACAGACCAGCGGGGGTCACTTTTCCTTCACCCATCAGGTGTAGAGTGGAGAATGAAAGCACAATGATGACAGATGTGAATATAAATACATCCTCTCTACTGAGCTGCTTCTCCACAGATCAGACAAGTGTGGTATATGATAATCCACTTTATTTACTAGAACTTTTCTTCATCCTCCATTTTCTAACTCATTTATCCTGTTGTGGGCCAGCATGCACTGGGCGAGAAGCCAGTTGGCCTCTGGACAGGATTACCACACATACATAAACAGCCACTCACAGCTTTGTGTACTTAAGACTTTCCAGTTCACCTACCCTGCAGGGAACAAGTGCAGACTCAGGAGGAACACCCTGGGTGAACTACCCAGAACCTTCGTCTCAGCACTGAGCTGCCTTCCTGTCTCAGCAGTTATCTTTAGACAAGACCATAGGACAGGAGCCTAGCAGCTGTTACTCTGGATATACTGAAAGGCAATTTTCAGCTGCACCAATCAGGACTTTTAGAACATTTAAATCTAGTGAGCATTACCATCCCTGCTAAAAGAGTTTTGTCATTTTTGGAAATTGAAATGCCTGTTCAGATTGATTCCACTCTGCACAAGAAATATGAAGCTATAACCAGCAGCTTGTTAGCCTAGCTGAACCACACAGTCTGTAATTTCTGCCTCTAGAGGCCTCTCAAACAAAACAATAACGAAAGTTGTGAAGTAGCTTGGGATCATGGGAGTTGTTGATATTTATCCACTTCATCCACCTCCACCTTCATCTGGTTCAATATAATAATTCAGTCAATGTTGAGCTTTTGTCAGACAAACACAACACCGACACATGATCATAGAGGATATGATGTCATTGACAGACGACCAAATGACACAGAGCGTTACCATGATTAAAATCACAGATTTTTATGAGGTAAAGAAACAGTTGTTCTGGCTCTGTCCACTCACCTCCTTCATTAACATGAGAACATAACACAAAAACCAAAATGCACCAGTCCAAGATGTAGTCCACATAACCCCTGTACCGATCCCCAATAGCTCTTACCTTGCTGCAGTAGAAGTGTACTCCATGTTGTGTTTGTACACCGTGACATCACTGATGGTTGTGGTTACAGGTATAAGAGGATAGTCAGTCTGGATTCAGTTCTGATGGTGAATGAATTAGGCTTGTTGATGATTTAAATGAATGAATTATCTGATGCCCCTCAGGTGCTGCCAGTCTTGGGAAGGGAATAGGAGGAATCCTGTTTTCCCGCTTCTCGCGTTCCAGCAGCCAGGTGGGTGGAGTTGAGGAGGAGCCATCAGATTGTGAGGGTGGAGCCTCTGAAGTAGAAAACGTGGTGTTGGGAGAAGAAGGAGTGGCGGTGGCAGACAGCGAGGAGAAGGACAAACAAACAGAGGAAGAGAGGAGGGAGGTGGAGCCAGCCATGTCCCAGTCCACCTCAGCAGTCATGGACAGCACCTCATGTAAGTACTGGGCTCTGGTGAGGGAACAAGGATGACTTACCTGCTGTTGGGGTCACCAGCGGGTGGCAGCTGGAGCCCGTCCAGACAAGGGAGCATTGGAACTGGGTCTCTGTCGTCTTTTATCCAATCTGGACTGAAGTCCAACTGGTTTCTGTTGTTGCTGTTTTCATGGTGCATTCACTAACATGTCTGCATATAATTAGAGATAATGAAACTTTCATAAACAAAAACATAACCAGTGAATTGAGTACGATTTCACTTCAGAGAGACAGTAACACAAGCAGGTTTTCATTGGTGTCCAGTGGTTGTGGTTGTGGGTATTTGGGAGTGATGAAGGAGAGCAATAAGGTGAGACATGACTGTTAGCTGGGTCCTGAGGTGGCCAACACACATCAGGGATCAATGGCCGCGTTTCCACCGCAGGAACTTTCCCCAGGAACCTTTTGAGGAACAATGCGCGTTTCCACCGCAGGAACCAGGGTCTAAATTTAGTTCCGGGGTAATTGATCGACCCCCAAAAAAGTACCTGGTCAAGGGATAGTACTTTCCAAAGGTTCAGGAACTTTAGGGGGTGTCGTTTGCAGTGCTAAATATTTCTGACTGATGCAGTACTCTCTGCATTTTATTTCATGTTTAAAAGTCCGCAGGGAGCGAGCATCGAGCTAGAAAACCCATTTTCCACACCGCAGAACAGGTCAGGGAGAAGGTGAAAAAACTGTAACAGGACTTCAAATAAATAAAGGACCACAACAACTGGAGTGGCTAGGGTTGCCACCTGTCACGTATAGTATGGGATTGTCCCGTATTGTAAAGTAAAATGCTGTGTCCTGTATTGAATCAATATGGGACGCAATTTGTCCCGTATTTTCGTTCATGTTATGTCTTCAAAGTACTGTGAGATGTAATAATTTTGCACCTTCCCGGAACCTTTTAGTTCCTGAAGAAAAGTACCTGGAACTTTTAGTTCCAGGTCAAAACGCGGCATATGTCCAGATCTACAGTTCAAGGGTTCCTATCTATAAGGGGGCTCATGTGGATTTATCTGGACTTCCAGAGAGTCCTCTTTGGTGCAGACTTCACCAGACCAGCTTGGTACCAGATTGGTACAATGAATCATGGTACTAATGATGAGACAATGTGACAAACGTGTAGTAATAATAATAATAATAATAATAATGATAATGAATAGTTTTTTAAGGAGCTACTTTTAAGTCTTGCTATTGCTATATAGCTAACGTTAGCATTAGCAGCTGTTCACTCACCAGTGTAGAGCAGCGGTTCCCAACCTTTTCCACCTCATGGTGGTCCTCGGCCCACAGGTTGGGGACCACTGGTCTCGAGGAAATGTTGTGAGTTCAGTAAACGTCATTCCTTTACAAACCAGCTGTCTCCAGAGGTGGAAACAAACACCAATGTTAACTCTTGTCTCTATCACATCTTTCATCTCCTTAAGTTAGCATGCTAACCAGCTAGCCCTAGTTTTGTCACTTTCCGATACCGACTCACTGTAGCCTCCCGTCTGCACTGAAGACGTAGCTGCTCAGAGGACGTATTATAACCTCTGGTCTTGTAAACACAACGATGGCCGCAGCTCTTGTCAAGCAACAATCATCACCACCTGCCCCCAACAAGAAACCATGTTCAGCAGCAGAGAAAACTTAAAAAAAGCCACTTTTATGACCTACGTTCGTCAGAGTAGTAGTTCATTCAGACCGACTCATCTGTGTTGGGGGGGTCAGTGTGAGACCCTGCCTTTGGGATTGTACATGTTGCTGATGATCTGTCCTTCTCTCTGTTGCAGTGGAGCTGGAGAGACGCGTCGACTTTGAGCTGCGGGAGGGCTTGGTGGAGAGCCGCTATTGGTCAGCGGTGACCTCACACACGGCCTATTGGTGCTCTTATGACGTGGCTCTTTTCCTCCTCACCTTCATGTACAGACCCCTAGAACAAGCTGAACCTGCAGAGGACAACCCAGACACCTCGTAACATTAGCAGGGGTCCACATCGGAGCCGGGGTCAATTCACTTTCTATTCATGCCTTCTGAAATACAAACTGAAGCTCAGCTCATGGAGCTTCACATCATGTTTACATGTTTTTATCAAGATGTATTGCAGGTTAACTTATTATTACTATAATCCAGATGCTCATGACTGATGCCGCTTCATGATTTGTTACCACTGTTTGAGCTGAGCGCCCACAGCACTAAAGGTCATTGTCAGCAGAGTTGACCTTTGAACTTTGGCAGTAACCAAACATGAGACTGCAGGTTGATTTGACATCATGCTGCCACAAATTAACGGCAAACTAAACCGACTGTTATAACTGAGATAATTGAAAATGATTTGACCCAACACACATACATCACATGACTCCTAAACTCCTCCCAGTTTAACACACTGTAACCTCCACATGACCTTTGCTCCAGACTGAGCTCAGACCTCAGAGAGCCTGTTGTCTGGTCCCTGCCGTGCTCACCTGTGCTGCTGTCATCTGTCTGTGACCGTCTGAAAACATACAGGTTACATGTGATGATCATGTGACTAATACTGTAGAGGAGGCTGACACAGACAGATCTTAAAGCTGGAGTAGGTAATCCTTGAGATACTACTTTTTTAGTTAAGCCGCGTTTCCACCGCAGGAACTTTCCCCAGGAACTAGGAACCTTTTGAGGAACTATGCACATTTCCACCGCAGCGACCAGGGTCTAAATTTGGTTCCGGGGTTCCGTAAATGATTGACCCCCAAAAAAGTCTGTGGTCGGGGTAGCTCTTTCCAAAGGTTCAGGAACTTTGGGGGCTGTGGTCTGCAGTGCTGAACATTTCTGACTGGTCGAGTACTCGCTGCATTTTATTTCACCTGCGATGTTTAAAAGTCCGCAGGGACCAAATGAGCGAGTACCGAGCGAGCGAATACATTTTCCACACCACGAAACAGGTCCAGGAGAAGGTAAAAAAAACTGAAACATGACTTCAAAAAGATTAAGGGCCACAACAATTGGAGTGGCTAGGGTTGCCACCCATCACGTTTAATACGGGATCAATTTGTCCCATATTTTCGTTCATGTTATGTTCTCAAAGTAATAATGTAATGTCAAGTAATAATTTTTCATGCACTTCCCGGGCCTTAAGGCCGCAGTGGAAACAAGGACAACAATGGGCCACAGGAACCTTTTAGTTCCTGGAGAAATTTTGGTTAAAGGTAAAATAAAATGCAGCGAGTACTCCACCAGTCAGAAATGTTCAGCACTGCAGTCCCACCCCCCAAAGTTCCTGAACCTTTGGAAAGTACTACCCCATGACCAGGAACTTTTTGGGGGGTCGATCAATTACCCCAGAACTAAATTTAGACCCTGGTTCCTGTGGTCAAAACACGCATAGTTCCTCGAAGGTTCCTGGTTCCTGGGGAAAGTTCCTGCAGTGGAAATCTTTTTTCTTCTTTTTCTTCTTCCTCTTCTTCTCCTTCTTCTTGTTCTTTTCGTTCTTATTATTCCTCTTCATCCTCTCCTTTTTCTTCTTCTTTCTCTTCTTCTTAGTTGGAGGTATGTTGACAGACAGGTACATACTCAGCCTGAATGAAATGATTGGCCCTGTGGCTGTCACAAGGACAGATTTCTTTCCATTTATTGTCAGAGCGTTTCATTTCTTCATTGTTACCAGGATGTGAAGAGAATTTAAAGATACATCACAAAATGTTTAGAGATCAGTGGATTACCTGCCCTAGCTTTAAGACTCTACAGAAACAGCTGATCCTTGAGTAAAAGCAACATGAAGTCAGATCAGCCATGTCATCACGACACCCGCAGTTCAGTGCTGTGGAGCTACACCCACACCTAGTTACTGCAGAGCATGTACAGGTGTTAGTTCCCTGATTACCTGCGTCACCCAGAGTCTCGTGTGCATGTAAAGATACTGAGTATTACTCCTGGCTGTAGCGGAGGGATCAGAGTTAGCATTATAAGCTACAATACGTTTGCAGCACGGGTCACTTCAGGAAGGGATCCCTTCCTGTCCAGAGCCTCATCACCTCATGGAGCTTTAACTCTCATATTAACCTATGTGGCTGCGTCTGTGAGCTGCCAACAGCCTGTGTTTGTAGCTCTTATTCATTGAGAGGTGACGTCCCAACCTCTCACTGCTCTGTCAAACAGTCGACATGAAGCAACAGCTGGTGTCAGGGCATCTTTAGTGTGTGTCAACATGTGGGTATCCATGACAACAAGGTGCCATCAGAGAACCGTTGTTTCACATTTATTTTTTAAAGGAAGTGAAATCATACTGTGGCTCAGACAAAGCATGATGTGGATATGTGCTATGTACATAGCTCATGGGCTTTGATTTATTGTGACTAAGATATTGAGAAACCTTCACACCTACCGTGACTGAATCTGTTCACCCTCATGTTCTCGTTCAGTTGATGTACATGCTCACAGTGCTGTTAGATGGATGGACTTGAGTCTTTACGAGACAGCATCTCTGGACACAGAGATAGCCATAGTTCTCAGAGTAAGGAAGAGAAGCAGCCTTCACTCCAAGGTTGAGCTCTGACACTGAAGTAGTTTCTTACTCCAGGTGTGCTATTCTGATCTGACTTCTGCACTCCAGCCACCAGCTGATGGATAGCTGCACCTCGTCTAAACTTCATTTAAAAATCTCCACAGCTACAAAGCCACGTGTCCTGTTTCCCATTCAGATGTACCAGCTCTGTGTCTGCTGCATGTTCACTGACTGTTTTATTTATACTCCTGGACTAAAAAACTGCATTATCTGTCATTTCTTTCATGGTTTTCTGTGAACATTTAAAAGAAGTCAAAAAGTCAAATATCAGGTGAATGATGATAAACAACATGAGCTCATATACATGTGTTATCAGAGATTTTGCAATAATAATGATGACACTGAGGTGTGTGTGTGTGTGTGTGTGTGTGTGTGTGTGTGTGTGTGTGTGTGTGTGTGTGTGTGTGTGTGTGTGTGTGTGTGTGTGTGTGTGTGGGGTCAGTTATCTGATTCAATGATCCAACAACAGTTTTTCTCTCTGATTTTCACTGTTGGGTGAATAATAACCATGTGAAAGTATGAGTCTGCACAGGAAGTCATGCAAACTACATGAAAGTCACTAAAAAAATTCATTACAAACCACCAGGATAACTAATGCATATGACTAAACTGAGTTCAGGTGCTGCAGCCTGGTCCTGTGTCTGTCCTGGTTTCTGTGTCCTTCTGGTAAACTGGATCACCTCAGACTCACAATTACCTGTGCCATTTCTCTGCAACATGAAGGGTGGTCTGCAGAGGACTGAGGTGGTCCTGATGGATCTTCTTGGATGTAGCATGTGTTTGGGGGCCAACCATTTGCAGAGTGACTGTGGTCTGACATGACAGTGTCCTGTTTATTTTGTACAGTGCCATTTTGTTTTTTGTTGTTAATTATTCTGATGTTGCAACTGATCAATGTCATGAGGAGAGGATCCTCTTCCTCAGTTCAGTGTATTACTCTGTCAGTCTGTCGTCATGCTCTCCTTTCTCTCTGTTCTGCTCCTCCTTGGATGATGTGGTGCTTTACCTTCATAGGTCTTTGATTTTTCATTAAAATAAAGGGGACCTGTGCCTCCCCACACCACCCTTGGTCTCCATTCATTCAGTCTGATCTCAGTTCTGGTTCACTCTGGAGGCTTCTTTATGAAACAGTCCTGGTGAAAAAAGGTGAATGAGCTCAGTATTATTGATAATCATGGACTTAATAACTGACAGAATAAACTTTCCATCTGTCCACACTGGTTTTAAAACAAAGCTTCTAAAATGGTTTATCATGCTAAATAAATAGCCTATATAATAACTATAACTATTATAGCTTGTTGGGACTCACCCAAGAGACCAGATGTTTCTTTGCTCCACAGACAAAGGAACTCACTTCCCCACAGTTCCTCACTGTTCACACCTCGGGATGACCCTCCCCCAGGGACCTCACTGACCAGTCAGTGTGGGTCAGTGTGTGACATGTGACCCCGCAGGGTGTCACCAAACAAAACCAGATATCCCTCTTTGTTCTCTTTTTCTCTTAGCTCCTCTATTCTCAGCTTGCTCAGGAGAGCAGCTCCTGCTCTCCCCTCTCGGCTCTTGCTACCTGAGACAACAGCTCTCTTGCCGGCCTGCACACACTAAATGACAACACTCTTCTCCTCAACAGCAGCGACCTGCTTATGATTAACTGAGAGTAAACCAAGTTCTCTTCAGAATCAGCGGCTACAACACAAGGCCAACCAGCTGATTTTCCAAGCAATAGGAGTCACAGCAGAGTTAGCGTGGAACATTTATCTCTGTGAGGAGAACAAAGGCGATAACAGCGGAAGCAACAGTGGTGGAGTAAAGTCTGTCTGGCTAGACAGGACTTTACTCCACCAGGAAGCCACCCAACTTACTTGACTTTACAACAACACTGGAAAGGACCTCTTTGTTTTGTTCCAAGGACTGGGTAACGTTAACTGACTGGGCCTAACCTCAACTAGCACAGAATAGCACAGCTATGCAGCCGAAGTCTTAACTTTGTTAATGTACCTGTTGATTAATGTCTTGTTGTTGAAATGTTTGCTTAGGTTGTGGTTAGTCACACAGTTAATTGAGTACTTGTATGTTCACACACATACCTGTAGTATGTCTCAGTTCTTGAACCTGCATGCAGCTAACTTTCTCCCTCTAACCTGGTACCTTTAGATTACATGAGCTAGGCTAACAAAGTAACTTACACATTCTGTGCAGTCTTATTTGTTCAGGTCATGTGGTCACAGCGACCACTTTGAATCGGCCATCTTGCCTTTGTCTGTGTCCCCCCATATAGCAATACAAACAAACAAACACACACACACCTGTATATACTAGATTAGACATTGTGTTTTTACTCTGTTCCATTGTAAATAAATGTCTTTCCAAATTAATAGTAATAATTTGAGAGTGAAACAATATTGGTTATTTTGCCTATTAGTTTAGGCTGGTGCCCCCAAGGACTTTAATTCATTTTAATGTTAATATTTTTAATA